GTCTCGGGCTCCTTGAGGAACTTTACAAACTCCATAATCTCCTCCTTGGCCTCGTCGCAACCGGCCACATCCTTGAACTTGATCTGGATATCGGTCTCCTTATTGTACAACTTGGCGCGGCTCTTTCCCACACCGAAAATGCCGCCACCGCCCCCAGGGCCGCCAACGCTGGTACCTGCCCGGCGCGACATCCAAATGAATGCGCCAATCAGTAGCAGGGTCGGTGCGAAATGCAGCAAGGTCGCACCCATCGAGACCTCGTCCTGATACGAGACGGGCAGCCGCTCGTTCGGAGGGATGCCGAGCTCATTCTGCGCCTCGATCAACTGGCGCTCGAATGAATCCACGGTGCCAATTGAGAAGGTCACGGTCTGCTTGCGTCCGAGGCTCGGCCCGCCCACCTCGCCATTGGGCGATGCTGAGAGCAAGTATGCACGGACCCGGGTCCGGTTCACCACCGCAAGCCTCTCGACCAGGCCTCGGTCCAAGTAGGTCCGGCGGAATTCCTGCCACGTGATCTCCCGCGACTCATCGGAACGGCCGAGTATAGACAGCTGGTAGAAGAGCATTGCGGCGATGAGCCAAGGCAGCCAACTGTTCGGTGAGTTACCGCCATGCTTGCCGGACCCGTCGGAGCCAAAGAACGCGTTGAACTCGAACCCCTTGTCGGCCTTCTGCTTCTTCTTACTATCTTTGCTGGGATCAGACTCCTTCGCATTGCGTCCCTTCTCCGTCTCCTCATCCTTCCCCTCCTTCTCTTCCTTATTATTCTTGCCTTCATCATTCTCAGAGCGGCTGGATCGCCACCCTTTTTGCCTGCGGCTGGGGTCCCTCCCTTCGGGCTGCTTTGACGACGGGCTGCCGTGGTCATTGTTGAAGAAATGCTCAAACCCTATCGGGGGCTGCTGCTGTGGCTCGTCCTTTTTTCCGGATTCTACATGTTCACCCGCGCTCTTTTTGTCTTTGCCTGTGCTGAGTGTCCGAATCTTGCATTGCTGCAGGGGCAGCACAAGCATCGTGGGCCGCTGCGGGCTTAAACTCCCGGCGGACGATCGCCAACTTCGCGATGAGTTACCAACAAGCGATTGAAAGCAGGCGTAATTTCTATGCGTCAAGTGTCGCACCTGCCTCAAGGGAGACGAGGCAAATCGCGGCACAGCTATCGGCGAGGCCGCGGCAGGCCTCGTCAAAAGGCGCGTAAACATAATGGGGTTCAACAATAAAGTGCGCGACTCTGAGCGAAGAGAAAGGACCACTATAAAATGAAATGCCAACGCAATTGCCGCCGTCTATGCATATAAAACCCAGGTGCCGCTATCGCAGGTCTTGGCTTCGCGAGCGCGGTGGCGCGAGATCGGAACCAGGGATTTAATCTTGGCGAGAGGCTTACGAATATCAAACACGGCCATTGGGTAGAGCCAACAAAGGACGTACGCGATCTATGGCTGCTTGTGGCAGCACTGTTAAACAGTACAAATATGGACGCAGAAATAAGGGCTGCCAAGGATAGAGCTGATTGCGGTCACAAAGGGTTCGCGAGCGAGCAAACTGTAGGAAGGAAAGGGGGGGGAGACAGGACTAATAGATGAAACTTTCCGGGATTGCACCAATGCCGCACTCGCGCTTAGGTGACCAAGTGCGACGCCAAGGAGCAGCCACCAGATATGGTTACTGCTGGGGTGCAGTTCCCAGCCGAGAGGGGGAGGGGAGGGTTGTGCACGCAGGACGGGGCAAGGGGGCTTGGCAGGCTATGGGTGGGGCCCACCATTATGGATGGGGGGCTGCTCGCTTGTGCTCCTGGGCTAACTAGCTGGCTGGCTGGTCTGGACCTCCCCCCACCCTCACCTTTCCTTTCTAGTCCTATTGACATATGACATAAATAGTTTTGAATCAGCCAATTTTCACGATGAGTTTCCGGGAATAGCTCAGTTGGTAGTAGCGGCTGACTGTAGTGGTTCTTCCAAAGTCATCAGCAGGTCCCTGGTTCAAATCCGGGTTCCCGGACTCACTTTTTGCTATTTTGAGAACAGTGCGGATTGGCTGCGTTTATTTTTACAACCTGGTATTCTTCGAGGGCTACAGGAAGGCATATTAGGGCGTCATTTTGACATAGACTAGGTAAAGCTTGCGGTAAAAACCGAGAACTCATCCTCTCCAAGTGGGAAGCCATAATGTGAGATACCATTCGAATGTATTTATCTTTGTCCATGTACAGATGGTAAAGCGCAAGATACAGGGATTCGTGTGTATATATTCCATTTACTTGGATGTGAAAATTACAAGGACATGAGAGAGAAGACTATGTGTGGTGCAATATGAATAGTATACATTGCGGGCGCAGGCTAGTTGGTAGTAAAACGCTCGTTGAAGACCCGCTGTATCTGGGGGAAGATCTTGTCAGACGTGTCACCAGAAAACGAAACGAGGATGCCCCGATCCTTATAGTAGCCGAGCAAGGGCTCGGTCGCAGAATGATATCGCTGCAGTCGGGTCCTGAATGCATCGGGGTTATCGTCGGGTCTGTGGACGAGAGGCTCATCGGTCACATCATCCCTGCCGGGAACCTTTGGGGGATTATAGGTGAGGTTATAGACTCGGCCCGAGGGGACATGGACATAACGCTCGACAACGCGCTGCAGGATGATATCCTCAGGGACAACGAGGTTGACGACGAGGTTGAGCTGCTGGCCAGCTCTCATGAGCATTTGGTCAAGGGCCTGGGCCTGGGTGATTGTGCGGGGGAACCCGTCGAGCAGCCAGCTAGAGTTTTTGATTTTGTCGAGCCTCCTCTCAATTAGACGGATGATGATACTGTCAGCGACGAGTTCGCCCTTAGTGACGGCCTCCTTAGCAATAAGGCCCTCAGGGGTACCATTGGCGATGTTGATTCGGAGAAGGTCACCGCTCGAGATGGTTTCAATGTCGTAGTGTTGCCTGATGCGGCTGGACTGCGTCCCCTTGCCGGCGCCCTATACGTTTTGTGATAGGCAAGCATGGGAAGGGGTGGTCAGTGACACGTAATTATGCATGTGCGGAAAGAGGGGGGGAGAAGATTATTACGCCGCATCAACGTTGTCATATGCTTCGGCTGCCACGCAGTGCGTCAGGGTCTGTTAATATAGAAAGATAGAGGTGAGATGGGGGGAAAGGACTTACTGGGGCACCAAGAATAAGCATGCGAACTGGCTGGATAGTCTGGGCGATGCCCGCTGGATCCTCAAACGAACTGGAGTCGAAGTCGAGATTGACTAGCTCTTCGGAGCTAGTGCTAGTGGCGGGGGCGGCAGAAGCAGCAGCCGAGGCGGCGCTGGTCGACTGGGAACGGCGGCCGCAGGAAGAGGAGGAGAAGGGGACAAGCGCGGCACAGGCGATGCTACGACTGGCGTGGCGTTCTATTAGAGACCAGAGCAAGGGAGCCCGAAGCATGGCGGGGTTGTACGTGCGCGGACAAACAGGATTGCTGAGAGTGAGGGCAAAGGGGAGGGGTGGCGAATAGTGCACAGAGAGGGGGGAGGAGGGCAGAGGATAGAGAGAGGGGGGTAACTCTGATAGGATGAAGGCAGTATGAATCCACGTCGGCACGCTTATAAGTTGGCGTACAGCAAGGTCCAAAAGGATGGCCAGGAATGAGCTGGATATATCGCACTGATCCCAAGATAATCATGTGAGCTGTACTTGTGGCAAGCCAACCACGAGCATGCAAATAATGGGGCCATCTGTACACACTGCACCCACTGGTCAAAGAGGCTGACTGGAAGTACGCCAACAATCATCAGCAGCATCAGTAGTAGCAGCAGATAGGGAGAGATAACCTTGGTCCCTTCGTACCAGTAGCGTGCCGCCGTGCAGACCTGACAGTACCAATATTGCTCTCATGACCAATGAAGTTGCTTCACCTGTGAGTAGGACTAGATCAACCAGATGTGCGTGTGTGTGATTTATAAATTGTTCAGAAACCAGGAGGCCAGCAGGTCGATAAAATGTCTGTACTTTAGTTGTGATAGCAGTGTATTTGGCACTGATAACTTGTGATGAGAAGTCCTAAGGGAAAATAAAGTGTGCCCAGTCCCCTTCTTCCCTCTCTGTGTACTTGTTGCATGTGTAAGGCCTATTTGTCACACCCCCTCTGCCTTTTGTGCCTAGTGCATGCCATAATACCACATCCAAAATGCTTTATAACATAATAATACTAACATGTGCTTGCCTTTTTTTATTGGAGATCAACTCGCAATTGGTATCGACACCACAGTTGCCATATGTGCGGATATTCTGCCAAAAAGAG